GGCTCCAGTGCTGGATGCAGTACTGCAGGTGAGGTCTCATCAGAGCAGAGAGGCAGAATCACCTCCCTCAACCTGCTGGCTATGCTTCTTTTGATGCAGCCCAGAGCGCACATTGCCGGCTCATGTCCAGCTTTTCATCTACCAGGAACCCCCAAGTCCTTCTCCACAGGGCTGCTCTCAATCTCTTCATCCCCCAGCCTGTATTGATATTGGGGGTTGCCCTGTCCCTGGTGCAGGACCTTGCACTTGGCCTTGTTGAGCCTCATGAGGTTCACAGAGGCCCACCTCTCCAGCTTGTCCAGGTCCCTCTGGATGACATCTCATCCTCCTGGCATGTCAGCTGCACCACTCAGCTTGGTGTCGTCTGCAAACTTGCTGAGGGTGCACTCAATCCCACTGTCTGTGTCATTGATGAAGATGTTAAATAGCACCGGTCCCAGTACGGACCCCTGAGCGATTCCACTTGTCACCGGTCTCCACGTGGACATTGAGCCATTGACCACGACAACCCAAATACTATTCAGATGAGCATGAAGAAGAGTTTAGTTCTAGTAGAGAAGTAATTGGGGAAGGGGAAAGCATGCCTTTTAAAGTTAGTTACATGCTGTAGTATCTTAGTTGCTAATGGCTTGTCCTGTTGCCATCATTGACAAGTAGGGAAGCACTTTTGGGTAACTGAAGCATGGAATAGCTCTGTGTGGTCTCAGGTGAGATATGTAATATCTTTACATTAAGTAAGGATACTTTGGATAGGTCTCCAGAGTTTCCATTACAAATACAAGCCCTTTTTTTTTTTTTTTTTTTTTTTTAAAGGAAGGTCATAACATGAGTCTCTCCATCCATTCTAATTTAAAGACATAAAAGTTCCATTATGCAGTTAGGTTCTTTTTGATCATTAGTTGGGTCTTTATTCTTCATATATAATTTTTTGCTGTAGTTCTTCCCTTCATTTTCCCACACTTTTCATCATAAAAGCTGGGGGGAAAAAAGTTGATGGTTAAACTACGTATTGGCTTAATGAATTTGGACTTGTGTATGAATTCAACTGAAAATACATGTATTAAAGAAGGGCATATGATTCCAGTCTGCTCTATTCTGGAGGTGTACTGTTAGCTGAAAGCTAGACATGTGAGCCTTGTGCTGAAAGAGACTTACTGCAGTCTCTTAAGACTTGATCTAAATAACGCTGAGGTAGTGTGTTGAGAAAGTCCAGGAAAAAAAAAATTGAAAATACCTTAACAGCTGATTTTGTGACTTAGAATAAAGTGTAGAACAGTACTTAGAAAAAATAAGGAGGGATGAGGACAGATTTAAGTTATTAAAAATAGAAGAATTGGGCTAGAATGATTGCTGGTTTCCTAATCCAATTTTTTCAGTGGTATCTGCAGTTGAATTGCTTCTGTACTGAGAAGTCTTGTCCTTGATTGTTGACCTCTGCTCTCTGGTGCCATGAGCAGCATGCATTTTTGGCTGGTGTAAAGTATGGGTCTGAAAGTTCTGTGTTCCTGCCTTGTTTCGGTTTGCCTTCTCAGGATACCCAACTTGAGCAGGCTGTGCACTCCTTGCCCCCTAGTCTCTTCTTTACCTTTCTCTAAGGATGATTCTTAAACAGCTCATGGTGACTCCGTGAGCCAGTTTGGTGAGAGCTTGTTGAATTGGCATTACGTAGAGAGGGATTGGTTTTGCAAAGATGGGAAGAAATGCCAAGACTGGTGAAAAGCAGAAGTGGGAATGGGAAGAGTAATAAAGGGAAGATGAAAGCTGTCCAAGAGAATTTTACAGTCTCAAGACTGAACATTAAGGCCAGCTGTAGATTCCTTCTGGTACTATGTTTAAAACTCATGTTGGCTGCATAAGTCAATGTGTATATGAGTTAGACAGACCTGTAGAGATCTCCACTCAGCAGAGTGGAAGAGCAGTGTGCAAGTGGAATGCCTCCTGCACTGCCTCCTGATGGGACAGCTCATCTCCTGTCTCATCATGCAATTAGCTGAATGAGTGGCAAAGCTGTAGAGATGATGAGTACTTTCCCAGTCACTGCTGATGAGATAGCGTTCATGGCATTCACTTTTCCTCATGAAGAAGTCCTAGGTGGGTGGATGACTTGGGGAACAGAAAGCATCTCTTGGCATGCCGAGGCAAGGAGCTTGTGTCTTCTGAGCCTCTGCATGAACTGCAAGCAGCTTCTGTTACATCTACTCTGAATGCTACAAGTCCATGGAAACTACAGCTTTGGTGGGGAAGATGCTCCTTCCCCACTAGCAGTCTTTTTCACTGGCAGCTGCACTCTTTCACTGCAGTTCTCACCAGCATACAACAGATATATTTATGTCTCTGGGTGTGCTATGGTGAGGATACCCACTGGTACTTAAAAGTACGTTGTGGCTCTTTTCACTGGATGTGATCCTGAAACAAGATAACGCTTCAACATGCAGAGACCTAAATGATCTTTTGAAATAGGAATGCTCTTCTGAGTCATGACTGGTGATGTACCAAGTAATCCTGAATTTACAGCTTTGGTAGTATATTGGAGTTGCAGCTGTCTGTTTCTCTTGTTTTTTTTCTGCTTTGATTGCCATTATTTTGTTCAGTAAGGTCTTGTGCGTGTAAATACCTTCAGTGTTGAAGACTTTTTTTTTTTTTTTTTACATTGACAAAAATAAGTTAAATCGGTGTGTAGGGGAGGTTGTTTGGTTTTTTTCCTGCCTAAAATTATCTTTGAACTCTCATTATTGGGAGGATTCTCAAAGCTCCTTTTGATTCGCTTTTTTGGTGATCATTTGAATACTGCAGTATTTTGTTTTTTTATCTCTCTCACAAATGACTGAGTTAAAATCCTGTTTAGGAATGTCTGTCCTTGATGTGCATGTATGTGAATGTGAAGTATGTGTTTGCAGAATGGATATCAACCCACTGCTTTAGCTAGATAGTGGGAACTTCACAGTAAATGGCTTTTTTTAAAAGGCTTTTTTGGGTCTGTGAGTATTATATGTAATTCACCAGCCTTATGAGGGATGTATAGTCTTGAGAATAAGATAATAATGTAAGATTATGTTTACCTGAGTTTAGGATTAAAGCCATATTTGTATGATAGGAAGTGATGCATCAGGTCCTTTCAGAAGATTAGTTCATTCTGTGTAATTTCTTACAAGATACCTTTTAGACAATCTGAACCCTATCATTTTTACCATCATATATTTGTGTGTTGGTAAGAAGCAAGGGGCTTCTTGGTCACGTTTGGCTTTAAGTCTTGCTCTTTTTAAACACCTGTTGTTAGTTTAGTATTGCAGAAATAGAAACTGGAAACTAACAGCCCCTCTTCAAGTAGAATATCAGAGTTGAAAGGTGTAAAGCCATAAGCTTTTAAAGCATTTCCGAGTACAATTATGAGTGTCCTTAAAGCGTTCCATGAAACTCAATTTGAAAGGATAATGGAGGCAAGATAAAGATTAGTAGGAGCCTACTGTGCAAGTGGGGAAGTTGATTTCAGTCGACTTTGGAAAAGTAGCAGGCAGCCCTACAGAGCCATCTTTGAGAGTAGTAGATACAGCGCAGTAATTTAAGCTCACAACTGCTTTCTTTTGTGAGGATGTCCTCAAGGCTGCTGCTTCTTAAAAGATGTACATGGTAATACCACAGTAGAGAAAGAGCTAGCTCTAAGAAAAGCATCACGTGCCATACTGACTCTACCTGGGTGAGCAGGCATTGCTTAGGCAACCCAGCACGGAATATTTTTAGTTGGGTTTTTTCATCAGGGGTGTCATGATGAGGTTGAGATTGCCATATTAATGCAGTGTGTATGCTGGAGATTGGAAAGGTTAGACTTCATAATAATTTTTGCAATGTACTTGGTCAGTTGGAGTTATGAGTAGATTACTGCCTGTGTGATATCTACAATAGACTATGGATTTTCGCAGCTTTAATAATGCAGAAACATTAGAAAATTTTAGTTTGCTAAGAGAAAGTAAGTAGCAGTTGGGTAGTCTTTGATCCTAGTTTTTCTCTGGGATGTTACTCTTATAATGGCTATAATTCTTTCACTCTGATCTCAGGAAGTCTTAAGAACATGCAAGGTAAACTTGTAGGTCATCTGTTAATACTAAGAAATTTGATTGTACTTACCAATATTTGTAATTAGTTCTGTAAAATGGGGCTAATGCTTTGAGAAAGTTTTATGCCTGAGACATACATGATCATCAAAACTTATCAGTGAGCATGATATGATACTCTTCAGAGGGCACATGTTTCATTGATATTATTTCACCTCTGTCAGTTTGTCTTATTCTGGAAGTAATTTTAGGGTAAGGGAGAGGGAGAAGAGACAGTGTTCATTAGTATTGGCTGATCCATTTATTAACAAAACATGAAGTGTACAGGCTCATAGAATCACTTTGATCTTAGAAGCTTTGTTGGTTTTGTTTTAAAGTATTCTTTATCTGTGGAGACTGTCATCACCAAAAATAGTCATTAAAGGAAGATCCAGGATTTTTAAAATTCCTAATTACACAGTCATGCTTTTCTTACTACTGACACTACTGCAGGGCATCTGTAAATCTGTACAACAAACCTGGACTTGTCATTAAAAATTGTAGGTGGTGTCTTTGGGTGTGAGAGGTGAGAGGAATGGCTGATTTCAGATTGATCATTAAACAGTACTTACGGTGATAGTCCAGACTATTTTAAAAATAAAAATAATGAGAAAAAAACTTTCAGCACGTATGTGATAGAATTTTTTTTAAACGTTGATGCTGAATTGTAGTAGGCCATAATTTTTTAAGCGCTTCAGAAATAAAACAAATAAAATGCCTGTCAGATATGAGTTGGTTGGAGTTCTGTCTTTGTTGACTGAGGCAGCCCTTTAAGTAGCCATGTCAATGTTTTGCATGGCAAAAACAAGGCCAAAATCTGTGATCAGTATACACTTTAACGGTAAGTAACTTGTGTTGCACTCTTGTGTATTAAGTACAAAATTGCATATATGAAATATCTCCTTATTCCAGGAAAAGCATTGATGGTCGATGCGCCTGATGGACACAAAGCACACTTCTCTCAACAGACCATGCTTAACAAAGGACTTAGCAAGTCTATGGGATTTCTGTCCATTAGAGGAACACAAGGCGAGGAGGAGTTTTTCCAGGGCATTTCTGCAGATTACAGCTCGGGACAGGAAGATGTTTTCTGTCCTCATAGGTGTAAAGCCAGTGAGTTTGGGAAAAAAGGTCACCTTCATACAGATGTCACTCCCAAGCGGAAAGTATGGGCTTCCTCCACAGATTTGCTTTGCACAACTGACAAGGCAGCTGAGAGGGACCATGCTGGAGGCTGTCACGGGCACAACCATCAGTGTGAAACATTTACAGTACGGACTTCTACTGCTACCAGAAACAAGGAAGCAAGATACTCTGATGGGAGCATAGCACTGGATGTCTTCGGACCACAAAAACTGGACCAAACACGCCATGTGCCAGAGACATCAACTTCTGCAGCAATATCAAGTGCCTTTGACAGGATAAGAGAGAGACAAAAGAAGTTGCAACTCCTGAGGGAAGCTATGAATGTAGAAGGTTAGTGAAGCTTTTTGATTTTCTGAGTATTCCAGTCATTAAACAAAGATTTCTCTTTATGATAAATTTGAGTTCTCTTGTAGCAGCTCTTGAAACTACAGAGATCTTCGCCTTGTCTTCTTTTTTTTAGGTAAAGTGAAAGCATTAGGATGTTTGTTGCCAGTGAAGATAAATGTGCTTGTCCAGATTGCTTACCTGGTGAAAATAGGTGATCTCTGTCAGTCAACCAGTATCAAGTTCATCAATTAAAATTAGAAAAAGAAAAAAAAGTTGGTAACAGCCAATTGTCAAGTAATTTTCCTTGAAGGAAAATCCTCATCTCCAGCTATTAGAGATGGATTTATACCCCAGAGGAAGGGGAGAATTTTACCTCCAGATCTCTGTTTTTGCACTGTATAACTCTGGATGATGCAGTTAAGCCCTTAAATATGACTTTTTTTTTTTACTTTTTTTTTTTTTTGGACTGATGTTAAGATCTGTCTCAGTGGGAATACTTGACAACAGGTTCCATCAGTTAATTAAAAGAACACATGGGGGGAAAAAAAGTCTTTGTTCTGTGGAAACTTGTAAAATGGTCTTTATACAGAACCCTATAAGAGGAACTGCATATTCTGTTTGCTTTCAAAATGTGACGTGATTTTCAGGGGTTGTAAATTTGGGACAGTTCGATAGAAACTGAGAACAGAGTCGGATCCTGCTTGTGATGGGGCAGAAGGCATAACTTTGTCATCTAAGGTATATGGTAGAAGAGCTGTATGTACAGAGCCAGCTCAGTCATTTATTCAGGTGCATTCAAAATCCATACAGTTGAAAACTCATGGCTGCCTGTCTGTTGTGTGACAGAAATAATGGGGCGGGGGGAGGGGGGAACCCCAGCTGTTGCTTCCTTTTCCTGTACTGAGGTGTAAACACCTCCTTTTTAAGGAGAGATGATAAAGCCTTTTATCAAGGTTGAATTTCTAAAAATGCATATTAGTGCCCCTTGTGGCCATCTCGGGAGATGCTTACATTGCAGTTAGCATGGGAAGCCAATTATTTCTCTCCTATGCATGTGAGCCTTGTGCTCCAGAGAGGAGTGTTATTGAAATGGCATAGGTAGTTTGAAAAGCTACTGTGACTTCTGTACAAGCTGTGAAGACAAGACAGCTGGAGGGGGTTTTTTTATGCTATCAAATTAGCATCTTCTGATGAAGGTTACATTATAATGTGAAGGAATGAACATAGATGGAAGTAGTACTGTGGAGATACCATTGTTTATCTCAATAGAAGTTCACCATCTGTCATTATCTACTGAGATGTCTGATGAGGTATGGGGAAGGTTGGTTGGTTTTTGGTTTAAGAGTCTGAAATTGAAGGGGACCATTTCAAGTGTATGAGTCAACTTGGATCTTTAGAGATAGGCAGCTGACAAAGTTTAAGAGGAGGCCACTCCCTGCACTGGGAAAGCTCAATAGCCTTGTTGTTCGGGAGTGCAGGTTTGTGTGTTGCACAACAGCAAAACCAAAAGCTTGGCCAAACCCATCGATGAGCAAGAGTTTATCATTCTCATTCAAACGGATTGGGAGACAGCAGAAAACATAACATGCCCGTGCCTTGCAAACTGAGATAGTTCAGATGTATGAAACTACTCGATTCATAAAGGGAATGGGTGAAAGTGCAGTCAAAGTGAACCGGGAATTGGGCTTAATAGTCACAGGAGCTGAGTGACAAATCTGTATAGGGAATATTGAGGCAACAGCTAATGACTCACTGCCCATCCTTCTGAATTCACAGTTGTTACTTGCTAGAAAAAAATGAAGATAGTTTCTTAACAGATAGCTAGGTTGCAATGTTCTTGTCTTCTGAGTTTTCTACTCTCAGCAGCGGAAGGAGGTATGTTTCACTCTTGAAGTTAGGAGTGTGTGCTCTGCTGTTTTATTTTAGGGTCTCCATTTTTTTTTTTTTGTCCATTAACTTCTTCAAGAAAAGTTTTGAGCCAGAACCTAGTTATGGATGTGAATTTTTAATGAGACAGTTTAAAGGAGTAATTTAGTAAGATGGATGGGGAATACTTTTTCACATAGGAGTTAGTTGCTGCTGTGCTTCACAGGGCGTGAGAAGCCTGACTGAAAGTATTCTGTTCTGCCTTAATGAGCAGATTCACAAAACCCTTAATACATCAATTCTGCTAGTCTATTAAGACTTCTTTCCCTTTTCCTTTTCCTTTTTTGTCCCGTCTTACTATTCTGTATCTCACATCTTATTTACAATTGATGAGTCCCTTGAGATCTTTCATAAAAAGAGTCTATTGCTGGTTTCATCTGTCACAGAAATGAAAAATACAGTCTGTAAGTTTTTTGTGCATTACTACTGTATGTAATTTTCAAGCACTTAGTGGGTAGATAGATATTTCCAAATGTCAGGCATTATCAAGTGTCTGTGGAATTGCTATTCTGACATAAACCCAGTGTAGCTGAGAGAAACAAGCAACTGCGTGGAAAGCTGTGGTAAAATATGTCACCTAGCTTGATAAAGGTAGCGGTGGCAGTTTCTTGGTCAGTGCTTGATGCAAGGGTATCTTACTGCCTGCAGCTGGTAGTCACATAGTGGACAGGTGACCAAGAGCTAGAAATGGAGTGGAAAGAAGTCCACAGAAAACAAGACAGCAACTGCTACCCTTTCCCTACATGGGACACAGCAAAACCTGAAAGGAGAGAGGCATTGAAAGGAAAAACAGAGAAAGAGAGTAAGGTATTTTGAAAGCTTGTGTATACAGGAATAAGGGTTCTGTTTGTCTGGGGGCGGGGTGGGGAATGGGCAAGGAGTCATGGGAACAGGGTTGGTGGTTGGGTTTAGTAGAGAGGACACAATATGCCTTCTCTTTGGTAGGTTTGGGGATATTCAATTTGGTTGAGTCCAGGTCTAGGTTACAGTTAAGTCTGTGTAAATTGTGGTAAGCCTTTGCTTTCAGCTGTATGTTGGTTTTCAGTTTCTGAATTGTGAAGTGGCACTGGACTCCCTGCGGGTTAAACTTGGCCAGATAAAACTTCCCTCCTCAAACTACAAAGGAACTTAAGTGGCATGTGGCTTATTTCTTCTTTAACTTATTTTGGGTTAAGCTGGCAAACTTTTTTGTTATTTATAAAACCTTGAGGAGCTGACTGTCTTGGAAAATGTTCTCATGCACAGGCTCTGGTGTGCCAAGCTTTCACTCAGAACAGATTTTTACGATCCAAATTATAAACTCCTGAAAAGTAGAGTTTACAGTGGAAAGAATGACAGAGCTTTAATTACAGCTGTGCTGTAATAGAGTAGTTTGTAGTGAGCTGCAGAGCATCTAAACTGCACTATAATCTACAGTTGGAACATGTCAGATTTAGCCTCACAAGCCTCCAAGGACAGTGTCATTGCAAGTGCCTTGATCATGAACTTGCTGTTTTATATGTTATTCTGCTGTACAGTTTCAGAGTTGAGGTTGTTTATCTCTTGTATACAAAAGATGATTGTTGATGATTAGGTGCTTAGCCAGATGGGGGGAAGAGGAAGGGAATGAGACTGCTATTTGACTGCAGGTGTATCCAATTTTGAACACTAAGAACAGACTCCAAAAATATGTGTTAATCTTGCCAAGAGATGCTCCCATAAGGGTCTGCATCTCCGCTGCTATTGTTCATTCTTGGTTTTGTTATGTAGGTTTTTTTTAAGCTTAGCCAGAATTGTTGTGAGGTGTTGTGAAGTTGTGAGGTGTTAAACCCAAGCAGTTTATCTGTACCAGGGGAGCAGATTTTGGTTTTGTTGTTCTTTCGAAACTTGGAAATCATTGCTTGGCACCAACTGATAGTGTCCCATTTCAGAGAGAAAATAATATTCTACCTTTCACATTTTGCAAGCCTGCATTGCCACTCAAGAGCGTGAAAGCATCATCTGTTCTCCCTTACTCCCAGCTTTCTTTGCCTTCTCACCCACAAAACTGATCGTATCTTCTGAAGGTTATGAAGTGTAAACAGACTTCGGTTTTTGTATTGCAGGCCTACCTTGAAATGGCACAACAGAAAGGCAGAAGGCTGTCAGACAGTAGCCTTGTATGAATCTCTCCCTTTTATTTGCTCAGGCAGCTCCACCCCCTCCCTTGTTTCAAATGTATGGATAATTCAAAGTGAATTGGTTTGTGTTACTTGAGTGAATGTGCATTCTTCGGAATGGTACTTCGGGATATGGTTTAGTCTAGTCTACCCTTGATTGGTTTAGGTGGGCTTGGTAGTGTAGGTTAATGGTTGGACTGGATGATCTTAAAGGTCTTTTCCAACCTAGACAATTCTATGATTCTATGATTCTTTTTTATATGCAGTTCGCTTATGAGGATGTTGTAAATGAGATGCACAAGGGAGCAAGGTGTGAATATTGCCTACGTCCTGGTTGAATACAGGAGCACAAAACCAGTTGGGAGAGTAGTAATGTTAGCTGGCTGTGGGTTAAGTAGCAGGCAGGGAGGAAAAAGAGGGGAGGATACCAAGAAAGCTGATCTTGCTGAAGCTTTGGAATGCTGAATCCAGGGGTGGGTGAATGGGGGTGGTTTGGGAATATTCTCAAGCCTTTGTTAAATGTTTTTGCAGTTGGGAACCATGTGAATCCCAGAGCTTCAAGTTGTGTTTATTCCTCTCTTTTTACCTTTGATTTTTCCAACAAAAACTTGAGATGATTAAGTACTTCTCCCCCCCCCCCCCTTTTCTGTTTTTAAAAACAGGAAGAGGCAGTAATACTCTGTGTTTCTAGAGATGGGTCTCTGCTTCCTAAGTTTTCTGTGTCTTTATCTCACAAAGCAATGCTTTCATTAGCTACCCTGAAGACTCATCTGGACCCCATTTATAAAGCTTCCATATTATGACTGCACATGCTTAGGTGTGGAGTTACAGCTAGGGACACTCTAAATGCCTGCATTTTAAAAGCTCTCTTAGTTTGAAGCTGCATTTTTGAATAAGGGAAAACTTCTGCAGGTAATCAGGCCAGCTGTTGGTAGTAAA